TCCGCCTCCTCCTCCTGCTCCTCCTCCTCCTCCGCCTCCTCCTCCGCCCGCAGCTCCGCGGCGCTACCCGCGGGCCGCGGCCGGCAGCGCTGGGTGGTCGCTGTGTTGCCCCTCTCGGGGCCCAGATCGTTGGATGCCTGACTGGTTCGGTCGCGATCGGTACGGACATATCGCGACCAGCCGGTCGCAACCCCAGACATGATCGCGTCTTTCGGTCCCGGGGAACGGGTCGGGACTTCAGGGACCCCGTCCTGAACAAAATCAGGACGTCGCACGTCTGGGACCGGCTTCGATGCACATCTCAGGGGCAACGGTAGGGTGGGATAGGCATAAGAGGGGATGCCTCGACCCTCCATCGCCCACTGATCGCCGATAGGGGCACGATAGCCCAAGCCTGCCCAGGACCGTGCGGATTCACTATCTGGAGGCCTGTCGCCGATCTATCGGCGTTTTATTGGCGATGTATCGCGGATTCCAGGTCTATGTGTTCACCCCTGTGCCAGTCCCCCCTATCGTTGCCCCTCAGCATCGGTCGCGACCGATACCAGAATTTGAAGAAACGTCGGTAGTGACCCATTTCGTCGGTCGCGACCCGAAAATTCGAGCATCCGGTGATCCGAGGACGGGGCCTCTTCGGGGGCTTCTTGGAGTACCCTGGCATTCCCGCGCCGCGACCAAAGCACGATCCGAGGCCTAGGGCCACTTCTTGCCTGCTGGGGTCCTCACCGGCTCTGCGGGGACCGTTAACACACCGCCCCGGACGGAAAACAGGTCCCAGGGAAGGGTTCAGACCCCAGACATGCGACGTCCTGATTTTTTCAGGACGGGGCCCCTGGAAGCCCCGACCCGTTCCTTGGGATAGGTTTTTCATCCCGAGTCGTTCCTTGACGGTCCCGACGCCCGGCGAGGGCCCCCCGAGGCCGAAAATGGTCAAAAACCTCTCGTCTTGATTTCTTCTTACGACGAGATCATGTCTGGGACCGTTGGGCAGCCACGCTGTAACAAATCACGACGTCGGAAGGCTGGGCCTCGTCCAGCCGCACTGGCCACTCGTATGCCGAAGACACTCGTGCTGCGAGTGCGCGGCCGCCCTCCGCCCGGCCTCTTTCCCTCGCGGCCGGACATTTCGTATGTACGCTCTGCCCCAGCTGCTGGAGCGCGCGCCGCGCGACGGGACAAGTCTTGATGGGCCTGTTTCCCACCACCACCACCACCATAAGGTTGATGGGGGGGAAGGAGGTGGAGGATGAGGAGGAGGAAGAGGAGGAGAACGATCCCCTCCCCCTCCTACTTCTGGTGGCGACGGTGGAAAACAAGCCCACCAAGTCTGGGCCTCATCTCGGGAGCACGTTGCAGGCCCAGACATGCGACGCCCTGATTTTTTCAGGACGGGGCCCCTGGGAGTCCCGAGCCGTTCCTTGGGACGGGTTTTTCATCCCGAGTCGTTTTTTGAAGGCCCTGAGGCCCGTCGAGGGCCCCCCGAGGCCGAAGATAGCCAAAAACCTCCCGTCTGGATTTTTTCTTACGACGAGATCATGTCTGGGGCCTCATCTCGGGAGCACGTTGCAGGCTCCTCTGGGGTCCCTGGCGTGCTTCGGGGCGTTGCTGCCGTCTGAGGGTCTCGCGGCCGTGGGGGGAGCTTCCCCGGGGGGACGCAGGCCGTCCAGAGGTGAGCCTCCTGCAGGGCCGTGCTGTACTTGGGTGCGCCTTTGTGCCGTGGAGGGCGGTCCTGGGCCGTCTTGCGCCGTTTTGCTTGGGGGGGCTCTCGGGCCATCTCGGTACCACTCCCCGAGATCCTGTCACACCGGACGTTCTCGCCCAATTTCGGGCTCCGGGGCCCTCAAATATCGATCCGGCTCGAACAGTGACGCGGCAAGAAGTGGTCCGGGGTTCCTGTCGTGGTTTCTAAAATTGTTGCGATTTTTTCGCAACGTCGGATCTCAGGGCTTGCAGGCCGTCGTCTCCCTTTCTGGGGCCCACGGGGAAAGCAGCCTGCGGAGCTGGGGAGGGCGCGTCCAGAGGTACACCGGCAAAGCTCCCGCCGTCAGCTTGCCCTTTGAAATCGCGACTCCCTGGGAAGGTGGGCCCGGGGACGTGGAGCAACAATCAACGTGGGCTAACCTGGCCGAATGGCCTTCGGCCCATCCCGCCACCGTGCTAGGGTCGTGGATCGGAGGGCTCCTGGGCGACTCTTCGAGGTTCTCTTCGGGGCATCGTGGTTAATCCACGACTCTTCGAGGGTCTCTGGGGGGCATCGTGGGCCCTCTTGAGCCGTCTCGGGGCCCTCTTGGGGGGGCCCCTTGTGGGGGTTCTCTTGCGCCGTCGTAGGCGCTCACAGGGGATTTCTAGGGCCGTCTTGGATATCTCCGTAGCTGATCAGGGGGGCTCTTGGGGCTCTCTTGGGTAATTTTCTTTACGTTTTTGAGGCCCTCTTGGGAAGTCCTGGAGCTATCTGGAGACATCTTGAGGCCATGTTGGTTCATACGATGTTGAAGCTTGTGATTTTGAGCCGTCCGGGGAGCGTGTTGGAGCTTCTGTTGCAGCCTCTGGTGGGCCTCCTCCGATTTCTTTGCGGCCCCTTGGAGCCTACTGAGTGCCTTCTGGGAATTCCGAGGGGATCTCGGGGTCGTGGTGGGCGGGCTCGCCCTCGCGCAGGCTCCTGCGGCATGCCCTGGGAGCTCCTGGAAGCGCCCGCCTCCGGCAAGCAGGGGGGCGCGGGGACGGGGCATACGTATCAGAATCTTGCAATCTCTACAGCACGCAGCTGCATGTCTCTGGGTCATTCAACTGCGCGTCAGGGGCAGGTTTGCAAATGTTTCGCAAGGGGGTAACACTGACAGGGGGCCGACACACACACACACAACACAACACAACACAACACAACACAACACAACACAACACAACACCCACAACACAACACAACACAACACAGCACAGCACAACACAACACAACACAACACACAACACACATATATCTATATATATATATACACAGGTGCACACGCACACGCACACGCACGCACACACACACACACACACACGCACACGCGCACACGCACACGCACACGCACACGCACACGCACGCACACGCACACGCACACGCACACGCACCCACACGCACACGCACACGCGCACGCGCACGCGCACGCACACACATACACATACACATACACATACACATACACATACACAAACACAGACACATACACAAACATGCACACACACACACACGCACACACACACAAACACACACACACACGCATCGGGGCCGCGGTCAGAGCGCGATGGCGGTTTTTTCCAACATCCAGGACCATAACATCAAGTTCACCCATGGTGGTGGCGATGCAGAGAACGACCTCATCGATATGGCGTTCAATTCGAAGCGTGCTGACGATCGCAAGCGATGGATCTCGGCGTGCGAAGAGGGCACATTCGTGGACCACTCCGAGCCAACATTGAGTTACAACGACTTCGTGCAGAAGGAGCTCGTCCTGTTTGCCAAGTACGACGTGCAGCGCATGATCCCCTCCATGGTGGACGGGCTGAAACCGGGGCAGCGGAAGGTGCTTTTCGGAGTGTTCAAGAAAAAGTTGACAAGCGACATGAAGGTCGCGCAGCTCGCTGGCTACGTCGCCGAGCACGCGGCTTACCATCACGGTGAAACTTCTCTTCAGGGTACTATTGTTGGACTGGCCCAGAACTATGTCGGTTCAAACAACATAAACCTTCTTGTGCCGAGCGGGATGTTCGGGACCCGCCTGCAGGGCGGAAAGGATCACGCCGCGGCGCGCTACATTTTTACGCGCTTGTCCAAGGCGACCCGCTGCCTCTTCCCCGAGGAGGACGACGCCATCCTCGAACTGCAGGAGGAGGAGGGTCTTAAGATCGAGCCTCGCACGTACGCTCCAATCATCCCGCTGGTGCTGGTGAACGGCGCGGATGGCATTGGGACGGGCTGGAGCACCACTGTGCCCAACTTCAATCCGCGCGACATCATCGCGAACGTTCGGCGGGCTCTGCGCAAGGAACCCCTGGAGTCCATGGTGCCTTTCTACCGTGGCTTCAAGGGCACCATCACGCCCGCGAGCAACACCCCGGGGAAGTTCGAGGCCGTGGGCGTGGCCGTGAAGCGTGGCCGAGTGCGGCTCGAGATCACCGAGCTGCCCGTGAGGCGGTGGACACAGGACTACAAGGAGTGGCTCGTGGAGCAACTGCCGAAGCCCGGGTCGGAGCAGCGCGCCGCCGTCACGGAGATGCGCGAGCACCACTCCGAGAATTCGGTGCACTTCGTGCTCTCGATGACGCCGGACAAGTTGGGCGGCGAGATCTATACGTATCCACCGCCGCTGGCCAGGCCCATTCTGGGCCCAGGAGCGGTGTATATGCCACCCTCGCCAGGCCAGAAGTCAGTATACACCGCTCCTGGGCCTGCAGGATGGGCCTGGCCAGCGACGGTGGATATGTATAGATCTCGCTGCCCTAGGACAAGCTGGCGGAGGCCGAGCGGAAGGGGATCGAGAAGGTCTTCCACCTTCGCTCGAGCATCACCACGAGCAACATGTGGCTCTTCGACCCCAGCGGCGCCATCAAGAAATACGAGACGCCGGAGCAGATCATCGACGAGTTCGTGCCAGTCAGACTTGAGTTTTACGCGAAGCGCAAGGCCTTCTTGGTCGACAAGATGGCGAGGGAGCTGGCCGTGATCGCGAACAAGCTGAAGTTTGTGCGCATGGTCGTCGAAGGAACGCTCGATGTGGAGAAGCGCAAGGCCGCGCAGCTGCATGCCGACATGCGCCGGCACGGCCTGCAGACCATGAGCCAGATCAACGGCGGCCCCAAGGCCTCGAAGGCCGCCAGTCCCGACGACGGAGGCCCGGAGGGCTTCAAGTACCTCCTGTCCATGAAGCTCTGGTCTCTGACAGAGGACCGTCTGGTAGTCCTCACAGACCTTCACAACAAGAAGCAGGCTGAGCTGGACGAGCTCAAGGCCACCAGCCTCGAGGCCCTCTGGGAGCGTGACCTCCTGAAGCTGGAGGCGGCACTCGACGCGGACGACGCGGAGCGGGCGAAGGAGGCCGCAGCGGAAGCTAAGCTCATCGAGAAGAGCATGGGTGGATCCGAGGACAGCTTCCTTTCAAACAAGCAATGCGTTCTCGTGCTCAGCCGCAGCTTCACAGCCAAGCGCTTGCGCACAAGCGAGTGGAAGGCGAAGCGACGCGGTGCCAACCTGAAGGGAGGAGGTTGTGTCTTGGCGAAGAAGCGCGGCGAGGCAGAGAAGGGCGAGGCTGAGGGCGAGGGCGAGGCTGAGGACGAGGAGGAGGAGACCCAGACTCCCGCAGACGCGCTGGCTGGGGTGTTCTGCTGCCGGGACTTCGATGCGCTGCTGGTCTTCTCGGAGCAGGGCATGGTCTATGGCATGCAGGCCCTCGACGTGCCCTTGGCTAAGAAGATCTCGTCCCCCGGCACCCCGATGAGCACGTTCTTGCCTGAGCTGGGAGAGAAGCAGCGCGTCGCTGCTCTCGTGACGGTCGACCACCGGGCGCTTCGAGACCAGGTGGACCAGTTCATCATCCTTGCTACTGCTGATGGCCTCATGAAGAAGATACCGCTCGACAGGTTCCGGGGCCTGCGGCCTGGGAAGGGCGTCAAGTGTATCAACCTGGGGACGAACGACCGGCTTCGTTGGGCTTACCGGGTGTCCGCGCACAGCGCTCTCGTGTTGTGCACTCAGCAGGGCTACCTCTTGCGGTGCTCGCTGGGCGACGACTGCCGCAAGAATACCCTCGCGGGTCCCGGGATGTTAGCGATGAAGATGCGCAATGGCACAGGGGATGCCCTTGCGTATTGTAGCATCTCACAGCTCACCGTCCAGGAGGTGCACAGGATCAAGAAGAAGCTGGCGGAGAAGCAGGCGAAGGCCGAGGAGAAGGGCGGCCAGGAGGAGGACGGCGATGCCATGGACGAGGACGACGACCACCATGGCGGGTCCGCCCAGGCGGCCGCGGCTGGCCCGCCGCCGAAGGCGCCGCAGAAGGCGGCCAGCAAGGGCTGCGACGACGACGACTCCGACAACAACGCGGCGGCGAACGAGCCCGAGAAGGCTGGAGGCCCCGCGGGGAACGACAGCGAAGCCGAGGCCGAGGCGGACGACGGCTCAGACGGCGAGAAGCCGCCGAAGGCCGCCGAGGGCGGCGGCGAGGCCGACGCCGACGCCGCCGCCGGAGAGGACTCGGCCACGCGCGGAGGGGGGGGCAGGGGGAGGGAGGAAGGCTTCTTGCTTCTTGAGAGCACCCCTGCTTCTCAGAAGGCGCGGAGCGTGTCCATAGTTCTAAGAAGCAGCTTTTCCCAAGGAGCCTCCCCCCCTCCCCCATAGCCCCTTGGGCGCGCCGCCACAGGACGAGGCCCCCGCGCCCTCCGAGGGCCTGGGCCAGTGTGCCCTCATCGTCACCGAGCACGGCATGGGCCTGCGGATGCCGCTGTGCTGTGCCCGGGTCAGCGTCGCCAGGCGCGGCGGCCGGGGGAAGAAGGTGATCAAGCTGGCGGACAGCGGCAAGAAGCCGGACCAGGTGGTCGCCGTCGCCATCGTCTCCGGCAGGGGCGAGGTAAAGGCGCCGACCACGGCCCATAACGCTCTGCACTTCTACACTCTGGATCACAAGGACGAGGAGCCCGCCGCCGCCGAGGCCGCCCGCGATCCCGAGGTGGAGGCGTCGCAGAATACCTTCTTCAAGCAGAGAGCGGACATGGCAGAGAGGCTGAGGAACGAGCCAGAGGAAGTCCAGCAGAGGTACCAGAGGCAGGCGGAGGCAGACAAGAGAAGATACGAGGAGGAGCTGGAGGAATACAAGAGGCAGGATATCGAGGAGGTCATGCTGGGCAGTACCAACGGGTGCATCACGCGCATGCAGACTGGAGCCATCCCTGTGGTGAACAAGCCCCTGCGAGGCAAGACCCTGGCGAAGCTCGGCGGGAAGGACAAGTTCTGCACCGTTTCGCTGCTGTCGTCCATGGACGACGACAAGGACGAGGAGGCCAAGCCTGCGGAGCCGGCCAAGCCCGCACCGCCCCGCCCCGCGCCCGTGCCGCGGGCGCGGGCCGCTTCCAGCAAGGCGCCCGCGAGCGCAGCGCCTCACACGACCGCCGACGGCCCTGCCGCGGACGGCCCCAGCCGGCGGTCGCCGGCGAAGCAGCAGAGCGTGCCCACTCCGGTGCGCGCTCGCGGGAAGGTGTCCGCGCCCGGGTCGCCCACGTCGTCGCCGAAGCGCCTGGCGCTGCTCAGCCGGGGCTGCCTGAGAACGGCGCTGACGAGGCTCTCGATCGTCAAGGCCAAGGTGCGGGCGCCCGGGCGGGGCCAGAGCAGGTGGGAGTGGCATGGGCAGTGGGCTTGGCTGTCCTGACAGGGGCGCGTGTTGAAACCCAGCACGTGACGTTTTCAAAGCGTCCGTGTCGACACGCTGCGTATTGGCTCGGCACGTTCTGGCCCGCGTTTTGGCAAGCAGATCGCGACAGACGTTTTCGATTCACGTTTTGAGCTCCGTGTCAAGCACGCTACGGGTTGCGTGTGGCGTATTGGGACAGCTAAGGGTCCGAGACATCCTCATGTGATTTGTTCGATCCGCGGCCACAGAGCTCCCGACCTCTGACCCGAGGGTCTGCTTTTTGCCGTCGTGGATTCGACGTTGTGGCCTCAGGGCCCGATAATGGGCCCAACAAGCCGAAATCGTGGACATTGGCGTGGATTGAACATGTCAGATCGTCGGAAAGGTCTGGGGCCCGAGTCTCCCGCCGCGTCGCCAATACAGTAACCATGCGGCGTGATCTGGAGCCCGATCTTATGGCCAACCAGGACATTGAACATTCCACCCTGGGAGAACGAAGACTTGAGACCGTTTTTCGACGCATGTTCATAGGAGCCTTGGGCAGCGACATCGAAATCAGCTCTTCCTGCATTTGGTCCGCATTTGGCCCTGCCTCCTGCTTCTCCTCGCCCTGCCTGTTCCTTCCCCCCCTGCCCGTTATTCCCTTCTCCCCTGTGAAGTGGCGTCCAAACCAGTCGAGTAATTAGAAGATCGACTACAGAGTTGATTCACCCCAGACACTTCACTTTACCGTCTAGTCTTCGAGAGAGACGTAGGATGCTCCGAGATCTGCGGAGCATCCTCCGCACTTGTTTCGTAGACCAACGGAAAAATCATTCTGGGGTGAATCCATTCTATACAGTCCCAGACATGCGACGTACTGATTTTTCAATACGGGGCTCCCTGGAAGTCCCGACCCTCTCCCCGAGGCCCAGCGAGGGCCCCCCGAGGCCGAAGATGGCCCGAAACCTCCCGCCGGGATTTTTTTCCCCACGGCGCGAGCACCTCTGGGCTCCTGCACCGCCCATCCCCTCGCCGCCCCGGGCCCGAGGCGGCCGGCGCCACGGGGGCCCACGTCGGCTCCCGCGGCTCGGGCCTCCGCCCGCGCCCTCTGCGGCCCACGGCCGCAGCAGTGTCTGCTATCGGGCGCGCCGCGCGCCGTCGGGACGCGTCCCCCGCGTCGTCGGGGGCCCCGGCGAGGGGGCGCGGCCTCCGACCCCCCGGTGGCTCCAGCTTCACCTGGGCTCGGGATCGCTCGGACGAGCGCAAGTCCCAGACATGATCGCGTCGCTGAGATAGAAATCGGAAGAGGAGGTTTCTGGCCATTTTCGGCCTCGGGGGGGCCTTCGCCGGGCCTCGGGAGCGTCAAAAAACGACTCAGGATGAAAAACCGGTCCCGGGGAACGGGTCGGGACTTCCAGGGACCCCGTATGGGAAAAAATCAGGACGTCGCATCTCTGGGTTGGGATCCCTCGGACGTGTGTATTTTTTCTCGGCAAGAACCGTCGAGGAGCATTTGGAGTCACCTCCGACCCCGTCCGCTCCAGCCACACCTGGGCTCGGGATCCCCCGGACGATGTGCAGTCGAGGCTGATTAGTAGGGCGGCCCTGCCAAATCGAGGGTGCCCTTGTGTCCTGCGGGTTCGCGGCCCGTGCTTTCTACATTCCTGTGGCAACGTGATCCCTCGGAAGGGTCTCGTGTCATCTCGCGAGTCCTCTCCAATCAATCCCGACTGCTTTTGTGCGGCGAGAACCATCGAGGAGCTTTTGGGGTCACCTCCGACCCCGTCCGCCCCAGCCAACCCTGGTTCGGAGGCAGCTCCTGGGAGGTCAGATTCTGACTTCGCCCTGGTCCGAAATCTGGCTTCATCCAGCCTAGTCCCGCTGAGTCCCGCGTAATCTGCCTCAGTCTTGGCTTGTCCGTGGCCTAATCTGGCGCAACAGCCCCCCTCCAGTGGGGCTTTATCCTCCTTAGTCCTTCCGGCGAAGACCTCCCAGCAGTTGCCATCTGACTTGGGACGGCCTCCAAAGGTGCGGACGATGGGCGCGGCGCGGAGGGAGCAGCAGGAGCTAACCTTCAGCGTCCCCAAGTGGGCCGACCAGGCGGCCTAGCAGGGCCACGGCGGCCGCGCCTTTCCGGGCCGCCGCGTGCCCGATGTGTGGAACACACGCGGGCGCCGCTGGCGTGCCTGGCACAAGACGGCGACGCACGGGAGGCACCTTTCGAGCAGTGGCGAAGCGTCTTGGCTTGCACATGGGCTCACCAAATAATGGTCTGAGAACCTTGTGTGGCTTGCACGAGATCTTCTTGGGACATTTCTGGCCGAGGCTGTCTTGTTTTAGCCTATCCGGCGTATGTTCTAAGAACATGGCTTTGTTCTTAGGGCATTTTTAGGCTGTAAGAACACGTCGTGGTAGGCCTATAGGAAGGCCAGGGCGGTCGGTCCCTGCTCGGACCTTGCGTGGAGGTGGGCCAGTTGAGAAAACGGCGGTCGGCCTTTCGGGGGGACCCCCCTCGTCGCCATGGCTGGGCGCAGCTCGGGAGTCTGGTGCGGTGTTCCCCAGGGAGGGGTCCCTGGGGGATCGAGTCTTGGGTTGCCGTCGTCTCAGCTCACCTTGCTTCGATGTATATACTACACCATCATCGCATGTCTTGCCAGGGCCACTCTGGGTCCTGGCACGGTGTGTGCAGTGGGGCCGCGCCTCAAGGAGCCGGAAGGTTCTCGTCAGGGTGCCATGGGCTTCTTCGCTCCGCGCGCGGCGCGGAGGCCTCCCGCGTCCGCTACTTCAAGAGCAGGGCTCGACCCAAATTCTGTTTTCTGGTAATCTCGAGGGCCCTCTTCGTTTCGATTCCGCCTCTGCAGCAGAGGAGGCGGCACGGAGACAGAAGGAGGGAGAGCGAGACCAACACGGACACGGGAAACACCGCTTGGGTCGAGCTCTGCTATGGAGCGTGTTCCGTCCAGGGTGCGACTGGGCTCCTCCCCCCAGCCGCACCTGACGTTCGGCTCCGCAGCGGCTTGGCGTCTTGCGAGGGCTTCCTTGCCGCCGCGGACGCACCGAGCGTGTGCCCTCCCGGCCGAGGCCGCCAGAGTCCCGTGCAGCGTCCTGGCGCCCAGGATGGCCCTGGCCCGGCGTGGCGATGGCACGTCGTGTCTCCTGCGCAGGGGCAGCGATCCCAGGCATGATCGCGTCGTGGAACAAATCAGGACGGGAGGGGAGGTTTTTGGCCAGTTTCGGCATCGGGGGGCCCTCGCCGGGCCTCGGGGACGGTCAAAAAACTACTCAGGGTAACAACTGGTCCTGGGGAAAGGGTCGGGACTTCCAGGGACCCCGTATGGAAAAAACAGAGCGTCGCATGTCTGGGGATGCATCGACCCCCAATCGCCCATTGATCGCCGATAGGGGCCCGATAGCTCCAACCGCCCCAGGAACGCGCGGATTCACTATCAGAGGCTCGGAGATGCATCGCCGATTCCAGGTCGATGTGTCCCCCACTTACTCCAGTCCCCTTTTGTCGTTGTCCATCACCAGCGGAGGTGATGGTGCTGGCCCGGCCCAGCCCGAGTCTTGTGCTGAAGCGCTGAAGCGGTTTCTCCCCGTCCTTCCCGCAGAGGAGCGTTTTTTATTCCGCGGCAGTGGCGGGCGTTACTAGGGGAGGGGGGGGGCAGGGGAGGGGGCCGGGGGGGGGAGGAGGCGGAGGGGGCTTGTAAAGCTACGTTTGGCGCTGGCGCCGGCTAGGAATGCTTAGGAATGTTCAGAGGCGATTCGAAAGTCAGCACGAATCGTGACGTTACCTCGGGGGGGAGGGGCGCTGGCCGCGGTATCGCGAAACATTAAAAAAAAACGCTCCTCAGCTAGTAGGTGCGGCTGCGAGCGTACAGTCAGCACTAATTCGAATAGGTGGGCGCGCGCGCGCGCGACGGGAAGCGCTGCGCGGCGGGCGGCAGGGTTCGGCCCAGCTGGCCTGACACACCTCTGGACGCTTGCGACGATGGAGGGGGCGATGCGGAGCGGCTCGCCTTTCTGATTGTGCAGCCTCCTAAGGGTTGGCGGCGCGCACAAAGGGGGTAGGGCGAGGGGGGCGGCCTTCTCAGAAGGGTGGGGGAGCTTCGAAGAAGGCAGGGGCCTTCCCAGAAGCCCTCCCGGCTTCTGAGAAGCCTTCCTAGAAGCCTTCTGGCCCCTCTAAGAAGACCCCTGCCTTCTAAGAAGCGCGCCGCCTTCTTAGAACCACCTTGTGCGCGCCGCCAAAACGAAGCATCTCGGAGCCTTCCGGGGCGCCTCTCCAGAGGCCTCCGGTCGGCCTCTCGGAAGAAGGAGGCCTGTGCATTGGAAGGGTGTGTCCCCTCGGTTGACCCGCTCCATGCGTCGCCAGGTGCGGGAGCGGGGGGGCGTCACGGGGGATGGACCAGGAGGTGGAGGAGGAGGAGAATGAGGAGGAGGAGGAGGAGGAGGATAATGATGATGATGTTGATGATGATGATGATGATGATGGTGGTGATGATGATGATGGTGATGATGATGATGATGGTGATGATGATGACGATGACGCTGATGATGATGCTGATGCTGATGCTGATGCTGATGCTGATGATGATGATGATGATGATGCTGCTGATGATGATGATGATGCTGATGATGATGCTGATGATGATGATGATGATGATGATGATGCTGATGATGATGATGATGATGATGATGATGATGATGGTGGTGGTGGTGGTGGTGATGATGAGATGGAGGAGGAGGAGGAGGAGGAAAAAGGGGAGACGGAGGAGGAGGAAGAAAAGGAGGAGGAGAGCGAGAGGCAGAGAGGAGGGTGAGGAGAGGGGAGGAGGAGGAGGAGAGGAGGGAGGAGGAGGAGGAGGAGGAGGAGGAAGGAGAGGAGGAGGAGAGAGGAAGGAGGAGGAGAAGAGGAGGGAGAGGGAGGGGAGGGGAAGGAGGAGGCGAGGAGTCGTGGACAAGGAGGAGATTGAGAGGGACAAGATGATTGTGGAGGAGGAAGTGGAGGGGGCAAAGGAGAAAATGAGGGGAGCGGGAGGAGGAGGAGGAGGAGGAGGAGGAGGAGGAGGAGGAGGAGGAGGAGGAGGAGAAGGAGGACACGCAGGTAGAGGATCAGGATGGAGCTGTCGTCGTTGCCGCCGCTCCAGGGGATGAGTGCTAGAATCCCAGACACATGGACCCTGGCTAGGTGAATTCTTCGACGCGGAGATCTCCATTCCCGATCTGTGAGCGCCTGAGTATGAGTGAGGCTGAGCGGGCGAGTACGAGCTGGTGTGAACGTATTGAGTCCGCGTATTCCGAGCCGCCTCATCCGAATTGCTCGTATGCCTCGGGGCAATCCTTTGCTTTGGGGCGCAAGAGTTGGTGTCACTGCCGATGCTGCTCCCTCTCTCCTCCGCCTTTGCCCCGCTCCTGCTCCTCCTCATCCTCCGCGTGTTGATGCCGTTGATGTTGTCGCCGCTGCGGCTCATTCCTTCGGCCTCCTCTCTCCTCATCCTCTTTCTCTCTCTCTCTCTCTCTATCTCTGTGTCTCCTGCCTGCCCCGTCTGCGGAACCTGGCTCCTCCTCCCTTCGGCCCTCCTCTTCCCTTATTCTCCCCTTCCTCCTCCTCCTCTTCCTCCTCCTCCTCCTCAATCCGCCTTCCTCCTCCTCCTGTATTGCCTCCTTCTGCTGCTCCTTCTCCCGCATCCGCCCTCCGTGGACTCGAGGTGTGTCGAGCGTGCATGTGCCCTCCTACTCCGCTGCATCCCTTCGTCCTGATGATCCCCCCCGCTCTGCTCCCAGCTACTCCATATCAGGGGTGGACCTAAACGGTGTTTTGACGATTTCGTGGGCCGTCTTCGTTTCGACTTCGTTTTGCGGTAAAGGCGGATCGAAGACAACACGATGGAAAACGAACACAATTCGAAAACGAACACGAAACACACCGTTTAGGTTCAGCCTTGCTCCTCATGCCCAGGACGAAAGTGTTCTCGCCTTGGGCCCAGAACGCACTGCTAGCAGTACAACCGCGACAGGCGTGAGTTGAGCTGCGGCGGATTTGACTCAGGGTGCGCGGATCCGATTTCGGATCTGATCTGTGGTCACGGGGGATCTGATGTGTGCCCGAATAGACGTGAGGTTGCTTATGCCAGGTGCCGTGCAGGGCGTGTCAATTAGATCTGGTTCGCAGCCGCTTCAAGTTTGTATGTAGCCAGCTCGGACCCCAAGCAGTGCGTGTCAGAATGCTAGGTGGTACAATCCAGGTGGTGCAACATTTGTGGTGCAATATCTATATATGTAATACTATCTATATGTATATGTATGTACTTGTATATATGTGGTGCAAGTTATCTGGTGCAATTTATGTGCTGCAATATATTTGAACTAATCCGTGCGGTGCGAGCTACGCGGTCCTGAGTAGTCGAAGTAGCGCGCACTCTGAGTAGTGCAATGTATGCAGGGCGCTTTCTGTGGTGGAAGCTGCGTATTGCAATGCATGTGGGGCCAACTTGCTCATCTGTGTGGTGTGAGCTGTGTGGTGCAAGCTATGTGGTGCAAGCTGTGTGGTCCGATCGATGGAGCGTGAGCCACGTAGTGTAGTATATATATATATATATGTATGTATGTATGTATGGTGCCATACACATATAATTATATATATATACCTTTATCCGAGCAGGCCAGGGGTGGGGGCAAAATCGGTGCCGTCATCCCCCATGGCCGCCCCCCCGAACCTTCGGGCGGTCACAGACCCCCCGGGACTGCCCCGGGCCGCTTCCAAATCGCCCACGACAGGCCACGCGGGCCGCACGGATGGTCGAGAAAGCTTGGAGAGGCCCCGAGGACGCCCCAGAGTGCCCCAAGAGGGCCCGTGAGGGCACCAAGAGGGCCTTCGAGAGGCAAACATCTGCTCATTTCCGGTGTAAAAGGTACATGCTCGCTGGCTTCGTCTTCTCACAGTGCCCCAGACGCCCCCGCGGAGCCCCAACACAGCCCAAGAGAGACCCAAGAGGGCACAAGACGGTCTAAAAGGGTCGTCCAGTGGGGCTCACGGACCCCCTTCCAAGACGGCCCAAGAGGCCCCGAAGTTGGCCCAGGAGGCCCCCAAGACGGCCTCAGGGAGGCCC